CCCCCGCCCACGGGCCGCCCCCTGGGCCCTGTGTCCCTTCCCCCGCTGGCGGGGCCCGGACAGAAGATGGTGCAGAAGAAAACAGCCGAACTTCAGGGCTTCCACCGATCATTCAAGGTGAGGGCCCTGTTGATTTGGGGGGCCACCGGAGTGGCCACTGCGGGTGACAGAGCCCGTCCCTGAAGCTCCTGTGGGAGGCGCCCCCCCACCCGCTCCCGGGGCTGCCCCAGCCCGGAGTGCACTAGAGTTGGGTGGGGGGGAGGTCAGCAGGCCGCAGCCGCGTCTCTGGCTGTGGCCTTCGGGAGTCTTGTCCTCCAGGAACCCCGTCTTGTGGCTGTGTCCCTTGCAAGCCCCAGATGTTTGCCAGGGGTGGGGTGGTGGGGACGGCAGGCCTCAGTCCCGAACCCCAGCGCCGCGTGTGGTCCCTCCTCCCGGAATCGCGGGGTGGCTTGCATACCCTGCTCCCCTCAGCTGTTTGTGCAGGAGTCTGGAGGACTCAGCAGGCCTGTCCCCACCTCTTTCTGGCCCGTGGGGACCTTGGTTCAGAAACCCTTGGCCCTGTCGGCGGCCCTGTGAAATGGGGGAGTGGAGAGGATGCCCCTCCCAGGCACCCCGGGCCCAAGTGCTATTTCCTGTCGGAGCGGGAAGTTTTCTGCAGCGATCTGGTGGCGGCTGCGGCCACAGAGGCGGCGCAGTGGCTGGCGGCTGCTGAGTCCTGGTCTCAGATGAGCAAATCTGGGGGTGGCTAGGAGGGCAGGTGCTGGGCAGAGGCCCCCATGGGGACTGGCCCAGGGGACGCAGTGATGTCAGCCTGCCCGCCCCACTCGGCAGGCTGGGTTATGTAATGGCTTGGCTTCCCTGGGCTTCCTTGGGCAGGGACCTGTTGCCCGGTGGAGGAGGCAAGACTTGAGAGAGAGAGAGAGAGAGAGTGTGTGTATGTGTGTGTGTGTGTGTGTGTGTGTTGTACACACGGGCTCATACCACTGAGGGAGGAGCATGGAGCGTCTGCGAAGAATTCCCAGGCCTGTCCAGCCAGTGTTCCTGGCCAGCTGCCCCACCCCTGCCCCACATGCTTGTCATCGCTGTTTTCCCCTAGGGTGGCCAAGGCCTTGGCCTGCAGTGTCTGGTCTGGGTGCTAGAGGGGTGGATTTGAGATGTCATGGATGGTGGTCTTTCCCCTCCAGGGGGTCATTGCACAGGGCCGGTGAGGCAGCAGCCAAAGCAAACCCAAGCTTTCTGGATGGTTCCAGCCACCTTCTGCCAAGGCCTGCTGACTCCGGGAAGCAGCCAAAGCCTGGGCGAGCTGGGCCAGGCTGGGCTGGGCTGGGCTGGGCTGGGCTAGACTGCACCGCCCACATGGCTTGGGACTGTGTTGGGCCTGTGTGCAGGGCAGCTGGATGGCTCTGCTCAGAGCTGGGACTGTGGGAGTCCCTGGAGGAGAAGGCCCTCTAGGTGGCCCAGAGCTGTTTGCTCAAGGGAGTCTCCACCCCTTACCCAGGCTGCTACTCCCTGGGGTTGGGGCCACTTTGGACACCACCACCCCACCTTCCAACCCTGCCAGCTCTGCAGCACAGCAGGTACTTCTGCTAGGCCTCATGGCTTTATTTTATTTTTTGTGATGCTGGGGATAGAATCCAGGGCCTGGTATGTGCTAATGAGCACTTGACCCTGAGCCACTCCCCCAGCCGTATCACCCCCCCAACCTTTATTTTTCCAGTAGTAGGGATTGAACCCAGGGCCTTTGCACTGAGCTACATCCCCAGCTTTTTTTTTTTTTTTTTTTTT